TAATATTGTCTCTTTATCCCACATTACAAATGAACCAGCTTCTTTTGTTTTAACCATTGTATTACTAGCATGAAAAAAACTAATTAACATAAATAATGAATGTCACAATATCATGTCAAAATATCACAAATAAAAAATATAAATGCCACAATATCATTATTAATGCCCCTCCACACTACACTACAACCCCACCTACACATCACCACTGCCACCACCTCCATACACCAACACCTCCGCACGCTAACACCTCCGCACATCCACAACACCACCACCACCTTTAACACAAAACAACACCTCCACACAAACACAACCACAACCACACACCAAAAACCACCACTACAACACCATCACCTTTACACATCCACCAACACATCTCTATCACAAACACAGCCACACACCAATCACATCTCCGCAACACCACCACCTCCACAGTTCCACTAACATATTCTTCAGCATAAACACAACCACAAACCAACCACCACATCCACACATCACCAACACATTCTTTAATACAAACACAACCACACATCAACCATCAACTCCACACACAAACCAACGTACAACACCACCAAACATCAAAGGTAAAGGTAAAACCTTACCCCATATTTTTCATTTGATGTAGTTACATACAAGACACCTGAAACATTGTTATTAACAAATCAAACACCCTCTTTCAGCCATTCATCAAACTGTCACTCAAACAACAAAGGTAAAGATAAAACCCCACCCCATATTTTTCATTTGAGACTACTACATACAGGGAACCCGAAACATTGCTAACAACAAATGAAGCACAGTCTTTCAGCCATTTCTCAAATTCTCACTCGAACAACAAAGGCAAACATAAACCCCCATTCCATGTTTTTAAATTAAGGATACTACATACAGGGCACTCGAAACATTACTAACAACAAATCAAGCACCCTCTTTCAGTCATTCCTTAAATTATCACTCAAACATCAAAGATAAAGATAAAACCCCACCCAATATTTTTCATTTGAGGATACTACATACAGGGCACCTGAAGCATTGCTAACAACAAATCAAGCACCCTCTTTCAGCCATTTCTGAAATTCTCATTCAAATATCAAAGATAAAGATAAAATCCCACCTAATATTTTTCATTTGAGGATACTATATACAGGACACCGAAACATTATTAACAACAAATCAAGCACCCTCTTTCAGCTATTTCTCAAAATTTCACTTAAACATCAAAGGTAAAGATAAAAACTCATTTCATATTTTTCATTTGAGGATACTACATACAAGGCTCTCGAAACATTTCTATCAACAAATCAAGCACCGTTTTTTAGTCATTTCTCAAATTCTAACTCAAACATCAAATGTAAAGATAGAACCCTATTTCATATCACATTCAACCACAAATTTGCAGAATCCAAATTCTAAATCATAAAGAGAAAGCCACAAATTGCAAAATTCAAATTCTCACTTCAAACCGCAAATGAGAAAGAAATAGTAAAATCCAAATTCTCACTTCAAACCGCAAGTGAGAAAGTAACAAATCACAAGGAGACTCATTACATTGAAAAAAATTGGTCATACCGTAGGAGGACGAAATGGAGAGAGAGCTGGAGATCGGAGGGAAGAGGGAGAGTAGAGAGACAACTCGTTACCACTAAAGATCAAAGGGAAGAAGAAAAAGAGAAAGACAACCTGTTGCCATCGGAGAGAGGCGCGAGAGAGGAAGAGGGCGGAAGAAACGCAAGAGAGAGGGCAACAGTGAATGGGGAGCGCGAGAGGGTAGGTCAGTAATAAGTTCGAGAAAAAATGCAGGCCACAGGGTTGAACCCTCGACCCGCGTTTAACATAAATTTTTAAGAAAAGTAGTTGCGCCACTATTTCCAAACGCTTCATCTGATGTTTTCAGAACGCACTGCGCCAAATAAGCTGCCCCAAACGAGCCTTAAGTTTTTCACGTACAAATTTTCAGACCATTAACATCATTCCATTTAGCTCAATAAGCTATGGCAACAAAGCTAAAGAAATTTACATAGCAACAATTTTAGGAGGTAGTTTCTTATAATATTAAAAGAAATCCAATTACACAAAATTTATGAAATTTATGATGCAATAATAACTATATATCAATTTTCAATTATATAAGCCTGCATATTAAAGTTCAAATTTATTTTGTATCAACATCTATGAGCACTACTAAAGATAAATAAATTAAAATCATTAGTATGACAACAATATTTGAAGATCCATATAGACCGTTTGCAACAAATATTATCCTCTTTAACTGTGCCCTATATTTTTTGGGAGATATTTTTTGACCACTGAAATCGAAAAAAAATAAATTTAAATAAAAATACTCCCACTCTCTCGTTTAGTTTTTAAAAACATTCACATGTCCATAACTCCCTTTTACACATGTTGGCAAAAACCGCATAGTACTTCCCCGCTACGCGATAGTTCAAGAAATATAGATTCACATGTACAACTTCCTGACGAGTCTTGTCACTCGTCAATTACACACACCAACAATGAATCTTATCGATCATTTCCCACCACGAGCCCACTCAACCTTCCCATCAATCTACTCCATATGCTGCCTTGCATCAGTCATCAACAAATCCAACCTCAACATTTGTCTCTACTGTCGCCTCCATTTGTCCCGAGCATCCACACCAACCGTGCGTGTGATCCCTAATTAAGCCCTAATCCCACCCAAGAACTTTTAATTTTATCTCCTTATTTGCTCTGACCAATATACCGAATGTCCAAACACTTGGTCTAAAAAAGATGTGCAAATTGAATATAAGTTTAACCTAAAATGTGATCCACCTTGAGAATTGTGCAAGTATATTTAGACTTCATGAAAGTTCTTCTTTAAAAAAAAAATCAAATTTATAAATCATTAAGTATAAAAAGATGTGCAAATTGAATATAAGTTTAACCTAACCGTGCATGCTCTCGAGTGGTCTACCTTGTACATATGATAAGGTAGTAAGTTGGATCTAATTAGAAGGATCCTCTTCATTAAGAACGAAGCAAATGAGACTAATACTTTTGAAGATATTAAACTACAAATTCCAAAAAATCACAAATAAAAGTGTTTTAAATGCCCCACCCTAATGATAACAATGTTTACTGAAAATTTCAATCGAATGGGTTAAATTTTATAGTAGACATTAAAATTAAATTTGCATACTATCAAACCAAAATATTCAAGTAAAATCAATCACCAAAAACTTAAAGCAAACTCCATTCACTTTGACCTCCACAATAATTTGTCGATGGTGAAAATTTTTAATTAATTTTAACTCACAAAAAAATAATGTCACATCAAGTATATCACTATATTCACGCTCAAAATAAATATACACCAGTAATTAAAGACGTCGCTTGAGTCTTATATCTGCATGGTTTTGCTCATGATCTAAAAAAATAGCAATTATGATTAGATTCATCTGACCGGATAATTTGTCGCCACATGACACCATTAAATTATTGTTATGTTGTAGCACGTATGTTCCACAATGATCTTTTACCTTTCGAGTCATAAATCATAAAGTTATATTTGATCGACATAGAGTTTTATGTTAACTAAGATCAACTTAGAATGATCCTCTTAGACAAACGTCCACCCAAATCTACAAGATTCCCTTGGATGACACAACTGATGATTGTTGATAAAAATCTTTCAGTCTGGTTGGGATAACTATCTCCTCAAACTAAGTAAATTATGAACCATGACGACCAAGGATGATTGAAGTATGAGATCTAAATTGGGTTCGTCATCATTTCTACAATTTCTAAAATTTAAAAGCCTGATTGCTGCTACTATACGCTAAATAGTTAGCTATCTAATGACTAGCCTTAATCGAAAGAGATCTCCCATTATTAATAGGGGTAATTAACTATAGAGACTTGCATATATGGGAAACCTCTAAACCCAAATCTTAAAATCCTTATAAAATGAGGATGAAATCTTTAAGCAGTGTTTTATCTACTATCTCATATGCCTTCTAAAAATTTAACTGGAGCCTCAAATAAACTATCTCACCAGTCATTTCGAGGTGCGAATTTTTTAATCCCTCGCTACCAATAATTATTTAAATTGATATTTTAATAAACATAATTATAAAATTATGCAAGAAAATGATAAAAATTACTCATGTAAAACAAATCTCCGCAAAGGTTTATAAATATCCACAAAGTCATTGCAGGTTCCACAAAATTAATTTTAAAGTGATTCATTATGATGTTGTATCTATTACCCACATACACACAGTTTATAATACCATCAATCCCCAATTCCTTAAGTGTTATTTGTGATCATTAGAATCTATACAAAACTATGGGTCCATGGGGTCAAATATATTGTGTTCCAAATCTGGTACAAAATTTCTAATAGTTCATCTAGTTGTGCTCACCAGAACAATAAGCATAAAAAAACTATGGCATGAGAATTCAACTGAAAAGTAACCATCTTTTCCTTTTCCTTAGCATGTATTTTCTCTCCAGAATTTTTCATGAAATAATAAGCCGATATGGATTTCATTGAACTGCCCACTGAAATCAAAAAAGTAATGAAGGATCGCTAGTTAATGATAAAAACTTGAACAAAACCTTTTTCTTCTTTGCCTTATTTATCCCTTCTATAAAACAAATTCATATGAGAATAGCTATTGTTTATAACGACTCATGCTAGGAATTTTCTGGTCTATGTAGCAAGATGAATATAGACTCCCATTAAGTTTGTCGTGATGTTCTTTCTTTTCATAAATCGAATCAGTACTAACCTCTCAATTGTGAATTTCACATATTAACTGAGCCTAAAAAGTTAAAGTAACAATGTAAAGACAGCCGTCCTATGATTTATGGCATAAAGAATAGGTAATCATATGCTAAATATGCATATGTTTTTATAGCAATAAAAAAACAGTTTTGCATGTTTTAGGTAAAATAAATTTTTTACAACCAAAAGCAAAGAAACAATTTTTATGTATAAAATGAAGATCAGAACTCACTCCAATTTCAGTCACATGATGGCAGGATGAACATCTTAAAGAACTAGATGTATATGGGTACATAAGTAGCACAGAACATTTCCCACACTTTACAATGCCCACCTGATGTGCTGCATATGGACATCCATCAATAATTGTCATAAACATACAAAAGAATCATTTTATAAATTAAGACAATTCACATCGAGACCTACCTTACATAGAAATTTTAAAGAAAACATGGGAAATAATGAGTTTGATTAGAAACAAAATGTAAATTTGTTCAGTCATGAAATTAAAGCTGATAGCTACAAAGTAAACAAAATTATTAAAAATTTTAAAAGAAAATAAAAATAAAATAAATGCTAGGAAGCACATAGACTACCTGGCACCATCATAACATATCATTTTTAAATAGTGCGCAGCAAGGCAGCCCACCCAAAAAATAGGAATTTTTGGTTCATTTCTTAAGCTCATTTGAGGCAACGCAGAGAGACAAGTAATTCAAAAGGCAATTTGCAACTTTGCTTATGGCAATTGAATGAACTAAGCCTACAATGGAAGTAAAATATCTAGAGAGCTAAATCAGTCAAGCCAAGCAATCAGTCAAAATTAGAGTTCGCTAGTGTTTGCATCAGTAATCGGCTTCAGTAATATTTGTTAAGGAAATAAGAATAATTAAAGCATGAACAGCTTTATCATATTGCCGTTCTCAAACAGGATGAACATGATCATTCCTATTATAAATTTGTTTGTTTATTTAACATCAATTGTGGTCATTACACCCGAGATACACACTTTTTTATCAACAACATGGAAGCAAATTTCTAGATCATTTTAGTTTGCCTCAATAATTTATGTTACATCAATACGTAATCAAAACAAGGAAGATTGGTTAGCATATGAACGGAATTATTACAAAATTGATTTTACCAAGGCAATGCAGCAATCAAATCCATAAAAAAATTTTAAAAATCATGGACAGAGTATGAGATAACTCTATAACAGTTGAAAACATCTACGTTAGATAAGTAAAATTTTCTCATGTCATAAAAGCCAACAACAATAAAGAACTTGTGATCCCTCTGGATGGTAATCATCTTAATTTATTCATGTTTAACTCATATTGACTAAACAAAAAATAAACCAAAAGCTTAAACAAAGATAATTTAAGCTTTAATATCTTTAAGAACCACCATTTTCTGCACGGTAATAAATGAACAAACACATAAAATTCTAGCTAGCTTAAGCCCAGCCTTAGACGTAGTTCTGTTTTACATAAGAATGCTCAAAATTTTCACTTCTTTATCATGCATATCAATTGAGTTTGGAACTCACTTTAACAACGTTATGGCATCAATTTTCAAGAGAGTGAATTACTAAAATGCTTCGAGGTGGTTCTTCAGCTGATTTATGTGCTCCATCTACTAACTTTGACGAGGAAAAAATCATGCAACTTAAAATGACAAATAAAAAGAATGATTAGTTTTAAGATATTCTCTTAATTGTGTTCTCCTTCTGTTACTCTTTAACATTCAAAAAACATCTAGTCTGTCCTTTTTAATTTCTTCTTCCCAAAAATCTTAGTCACCATCCATAATCCCTGTAAATTCTTCGCCCAATCCCCACTCAAGTTTATAGTACTTGAATGAACTTATGAAGGATAAACCAATCACAATTACTCACTTTATAATCTCAGCTTAAATTTGAGGAATATAATACACTTGGTCTGACTTCAGATTATTATATAAGAAAATGGACAAACAGACAAACTGGTAGCTTGGAGAAAAAAGATGAACCATTGAATCACTAAGACAAACAAGGAATTGGAGAAAGAGCTAAAGCCAACCTTCCAAAACAAAATTTGTTGTCTGACAGCAGGCGCATTGTATATACTTTGAACCTCGTGGATACGAAAGCAACTCGCTGCAACTCCCACAGACCATTTGACCCATTTCTGTGCCAGAGAACATGCAAAACACAGAAGAAATTTTCAAGAAATATTCTCACCATAAAACAAAGTTGTTTCACAGAAATGGTTCCAACACTTGAGCATGATTTACTCAGCCTTTTATTTTAATTAAACTTCAAAATACTAAATCTTATTAACATGTTTAAACATTAAAGAAAAGAAGAAAGATCTTTTAACAGAAACAAGAAAAAAATTAGAATGGATTCAAAATTTTATTGACTTGGCTTTACATTATGTTATGACCAACGTAAGACTTTATTTAATGAAATGATAATATCAAATTATGCACCTATGTAGAATCGCTGTACTCAATAAATAATAAGTTTATTTGCAGAAGAAATCAATCATAAACGAAAAGTAAGATCATTAACCTCTTCGGACTAAGGGGTAGGTCAAAAGCAGCAATAGAAAAACTTGAACAAAATAACTTGAGGAAATTGGAGTTAACAAAAAAGTAAATAGAGGATACTTAAATCCAACCGTGAATGCTTTGAATACTAGTCATGATAATGGTAACTGCTAGGCAGTATTCTTTATTTTGCTACTTCACCTTGTGGCATGCTTAAGAATACTAACGCATCTAGCCTGCTAAAGCAATGTTGTTTCTCTTTCATTACTTAGAGAACATTCAACTTTTACAGCTGTTACATGCGTGCATAATATGAAATTCTGTGCTCTCCATAAGCAAAATAGCATAATGAACAAGATTTATAAAAAACGAAAGTAGCTGCAAATAAAAATTCATAAAAAAATAAGCAAGAAGTCCTATCATTCTCAGTTTTTTGAGAGCCCACGTGCATGATGTTTCATCTTTCACTAGGGATATTGGTCATAAAACAATCCTACTCTGCCTAGACAGGTTCCATCAATGATGCACTGACACTATTATCAAATAATATCCACTACCTGACACATACAGGACACAGAATGCATATAACACACCCCCAACATGTATGTGACACACCATCCTATGAAGCATACATATGAAACAAAAAGAACATCACGGCTTGACATAATGACAAAAACTAAAACATGATAACTCCATGAATACATTTTTAGTTTTGATAAATTATTAAAATGAAATATATAAGTTTCTACTATTCCTTGCTGAATACATCATGAGATGAAGTATAATAACATTAAAGAAATTAAGAAAGACACACAATTAATAATAATAAAATGTTTTATCACATAAGCATTAATTAAATATTCAAAATCTCATATGTTCTATGAATAGCAACATTACTTTCAAAATGTGCAAAATTCTCTAGGAAAATAAATACAATTTTCATCCTCGAAGAAATCAAACAAAATATGATAATTACTAATTGAAGTTATCATAATCAATGCTAGAGACATTATTAGCAATAGCCCCTCTATTCTAATCAATCACAATTTCACTTTTTATAAAAAAAAAACATAATTTCCAATGATGACTCATCAAAAAAGATCAGTAACTTTAGGTGTTTCAATATCACATAATGTAATTAATTTATCCCAACCAATATCCTAAAATTTAGTCTCTAGTTAATTCTGAACTCCTCATAGATAGAAGATGAAGATTAACATTCACAAATTCTAAATATTCTCCTCGTTGATAAGTTATCTTATTGCTCTTAAGTGAATGACAAAAGAGTGTTTGCTCCAACTTTCACAACCAAAGGATGAATATCGTTGAGCAAATAAGTTAAAGCTAAAGTTTACAGTCATTGGGAACAAGCTCTATCAATCATCCACCAAATATTTTCATTCATAGTGCCTCGAGAAGCTATCGACTAATGATCAGTAACATAAATATTGAATTGCAAGAAGCTGTTAAATTTCAAAATAACCAATGATGCATCTTCAATATTTGAAAAAATCCTCTTCAAGCATTCATTCCTTTTATTTCATATCACCATGCATTTATGTGAAGCAATATAATTTATAGATTCATTTAATTATAGCAATAAATGATAGAATACAACTAATAACGTGACATGAATTATTAAGTAATGAGATAAACTAAGAGCAATTAGAAAATTAAATGTTACATTGGATTTAGAAGGAGAGATAAATGGAGTGTTTTTTTTTTATTATATCTTTGCACAAAAATATCATACGTCCATGAAATCAATTAGATGGGTTCTTTGTGCATCTGTCTAACAAAAGCTATAATAACTCATTTTAAGTCTCCTTCATAAGCTTCAGCATTCTTTCGATATTTTTTCTTTCATTTGTAACAAAATTTTCATTTGAAAATCATAATCAGGAGAAATATAACTAAAAAGTATATTATTAGTTGCATATGAGAAAGTACTAAAATAAAAAGAATTTTTTGCTAAATAGAATAGACAAGCCGTTAAACAAAACATACAAGAAATTTAGTCATGCAAATTATCTCTAGCTTGTAAAGTAAATGCTTGTTTAATAAAAGTGGAGCTTGACACTTTCCTCTTTTTTGGGTCATAATTTTCAACTTTAAGAAAATGTCAGATTAATTGCAAGTTTAGATATAGGTTGGAGCCAATTTGCTCAAAAGAATGGGACGAAACCCTTCTAAATGTGATATTCCTTTCCTTTTTTGGCGCTCAACTAGCTAGGGATGCAAATAAACTAAGCATTTGACACATTGGTTGTGACTTAGCTCGATTGGAACTCAGTCGTGATCGTTTGATTAACTAGTCAAATGATCATGAACATTTTTTAAGTATTCGAATGCTAAATAAACACACTTAAACAACTTATTATTTGGGTCATTTATGTATATGAACAGTATCCTTTGAAGCTCGCAAACAAGCTTATTAAGAAGTTTGATCAAAACTCAATATTTACATAAAACCTATTATAAATTATGACTAAAACAATAATTTAATTTAAATAAAGTATGATTAAAATTTATTTCAAAATTAAATTACTTTCTTTATATTATTAATTAAAAAACAAATAAAACCAATTTAAAAAAAACAAATAAACAAAACCAATAATAAAAATCTAATTATAGATTTTCATGCAAAGATTAATAGTTTTAAAAACAAATTAAAAACATAATAAATAATTTTTTATTCATAAATATAAATATATTCTTCCACCCATTCTAAAATAGTCTCACACCAATTTTACTCAAGTCTCATGTGAAGCTTCAAGCTTTCCAACACATTAAATCTTGCATCATAGTGGATTTAATCGTGTGATGTTTAAATGAGACGAGATGTTGTGAGCTGTAAGGTATAAATTATTTTTAGGTAGCGTATGTGGGTGGGATGTTATGGCTTTGTTTTAAAGTTTTTTTTTAAAAAAAAAATAAAAAGTTTGTGTTCTAATCTTAAAAAGTTTATCACGGCTCACTAGGTTTAATAAGTTCGTCCCTAAGCTTAATCGACTTAGTTGAGTGGGCTAAATGGGTAGCTTGATAAAGCTAAACAAGCTACTTATTTAAAAACTTAATAATCATAAAATGAACTAAGCTCAAGTCGAGCTCAAATCAATCTTGAATAATAAATTTAAGTGAACCAATTTTGAAAACTATCTCAGAAGTTCAAATCAAGTCGAATCGAGCTTGAACGGATTTTTCATAAACGAGTCCAAACATAAAAAACCTATTAATCAACTCAACTCAATTCATCCGCAAACTTTAGTATCTAGTCCTTAAATTTCTTGAATTTGCATGGATAATATTTTAAAGCATGATAGAATGATTGCCCCAACAAATCAAAATAATTGAGCTATAGTACTAGAATATTTTTTTCCTAAAGTTTCCCTCATGAAATCGATACTAAAATTCCACATTGACTCTTGCTCTTACATTGACTGATTAGTAATATCTACCAAAAAAAAATTTTATTTCATATGAGGTTATTGCCAGCAAAATTAGTGTCCATCTTAAATTTATTATCTTATTAGATAGTAAATAAAGAAATTTAAGTCATTATCTTCTATGAGATCAAACACAAAATGGATGCTAAGCATGTGTGTGGTAATGCTTCAAAACAATAATCTTTATCAAAGTATAAAATGACCATAAATATACTTCCTAAATTTATCTAACACATGCCAAAAATATCTTAATTTAGCATTTTTGCATAAATCAACTGCATTTGAAGATGTCAACCCATTCTAAAAGAAAATCAACAAACCTAGCTTATTAAATTGCTAAACTAATATCACATATAATATGATTAAATAATATCTAATAATATTTAGAAATGGCATCCAAATCAACAGAAAAAGGACAATCTTTGGGAATGACTCCAAAGAGGTGACTTATAAATTCTTATTTATCATATACATATACCATCAACAATATATTTTATCATTTATAGTTGCCTATTTTGACTTTAATAAGCTTTAGGAATGATTTCCTCATATAAAATAGTAATTATATAGCAAGTTTTGCATTAAAAAGATTGTATATTTAATTTTATAGATAACATATTAAAAAATTAGCTTTAATTCAATAAAACTATTGTTAATTAAGAAGATCATGTTGAGCAAGATAGCCCTAATAATATTTAATTGAATCATAGAATGGGTCATTTAAATGGATAAGTAGCATCTTTAAATTTTTGGGGCTACATCAAACACAATTCTTATGTATTTATTTATATATCTCACCCTAAAGTTTCATATTCACACATAACACTCAAATCTTCATATCACATAAAAAATGATATTATTACCATTTTTTAAAAATTGAAATACATCTTTTCATGCATAGATTTAAAGCACCAAAGTGCTATGTATGTAAATATAAAACTTTAGGTGTGATATATGTAAATACATAAGAAATGTGAGCAACGTATGTAAATTTCCCTAAATTTTAACAAACCAATTGTGATCGTCTAAAAGGAAGTGATAAACACCTAGCAAATGTAGAGAAATGCTTTTAGTTTTGGCTTTGGCAATTTAGTACTTCAAATATCATGACACGGGTTCGATTGTAAGTAAGACACAGCCCACAAAATAGATAAAGCATAACCAAAAAAATAACTTGAATGATCTACAGGACTAAAATTGGAAGCCTAAGCATTACAGTTAGTCACTAGCTTAAGCCCTACAACAAATATATTGCGTAAGCCCTTTACTTTTGTTAAAAACAAAGAAACTTAGCCATTACATTATATTCAAATTATGATCATATGACTTGACTTTATTAAAATTTGTCTAATTTGTGTTGAACTAAATTAATACGTATTGGATTGCCTTCTTTTTAATTCCCTTTCCACAAATGTTCTTATGTTCATTATTAGCCATAAATATTGTACAAAACTACAATAAAGCCAAGTAAATGCCGCTATTGGGCAATTAAAAATTATAGAAAGCTAATGATGTAAGTGTTTTAAAATAGATGCGTGAAAATTTTAGAAAAGAAAAATTTAAGAATAATTATATCAAGAAGATAACTGTTAAATTTATTGAGGAAAAAGTAATTGAAAATAGAACCAAGTGGTTTAGAACCTACAATTAAGGGCAGAAAAAGGAACCAACACCAAATAGAAAAAATTAGTAATAATGGATTACGAAGGAAAAGTAATAGACCTGAATTAACATGGGTGAAACATTTAAGTAAAAATAAAATTATTATTTTTAACATATTGTGCAGCACTTAATATGAATTAAAGGAAACGAAAATTCATAAATTCAGCCATACATAGTTTGGATAATTACAAAAAAGTTAATGTTAAGCCTCATCCTAGATCACTGTATTTGGATAAATTTCAAGGAAGTAATATTTCTAACTTCAGTAAAAATTTACTCATACACAGGATGATTACCCCTATCATGAAGAGTTCATCTCCCTAGTAGCTCACAAAACTTTAGCCTAATCTGAGATAACAAGCAAGATGCATTCTTCTTACTATCCGTAGATGTAGTATCACCTAATGTGTGAGGAATGAGATAGTGAAATAACTACCTAAATTCCTCGCTGAAAAAGAAGCTTACTGCTAAATTCTCAGCAATAGAACAAATGACAAGTTAAAATATATCTTTAAGGTTATGCTATGTATGGTTTCCCCTTAAGCAAACCTTGTAAGATAGCTGAGAGCGAACCTGGAAGAGACTGTTGGAGAGGGGGATTTAGGGAACCTAGGTTCCCCCGCGGAAACTGTGAAGAAGGGACTGGACCTTGGCCATCTTGCGACTGCAGGGAAGGACGAGGCATTGCATCTCGCTTCTCTAGCAGCGGCGGCGGAAAGGAAATAGATAAGGAAACTGGTGCTTCCTGCGGCGGAGGCCTTGGAGAGTGAGATAAGGGAATACGGTTTTCCTGCGGCGGATTTAGAGAAGAAGGAGGGTGTTTGCTTCGGCTCTCTTTTGGCAGCGTCGGAGATGGAGAGAGAGAGGTATCGGTGCAATTAACTTGGTTTTCCTGAGGTTGCGGAGAAGCAGGAGAGGATAGAGAACTGGGTGGGTTCTCCTGCGGCGGTGAAGTAGGGCTGGATAGTGAACTATGGTTTTCGAACCCAGGGGGGAGTGTTTCCGGCGAGCTGGCAATGGCCTCCTCCCACCCCGGCGGGATCGAATCCGGCGAGCTGCTCATGCTTCCCTCACCTCTCTCTCTCACAACCCGCCGGCAATCCCATTTAACAATTATAATATTTAAAAAAAATTGAACAAATAACCCCTATAAAGCACTAGTGCAGCTCACAAATTTTACATGATGCACTTCAAATATATTAATTTTGAAATTATATATAAATCATTGTCATAATTTATTTATTCACTACTAAAATAAAATATTACTTTTGATATGTCATCAATAAATTTTCATCATTCAACACGAAACTCGAGACATTACACTGATTTCGAGATAATTTTTAAATAAAAAGTATTCAAATCTTTATAAAAAGTCTATAGAACACCGATTTCAGTAAACTTATAGTCAACATGACCGATTTGATGAAACGGACCCAATGATATCAACATTAGTTGAATCCGAGTAAAATCAAGCTCAGATCAAGTCATTAAACCACTCTTAAAAGTTTTTGGACATATTAGAACGTCAAACAAATGTCGAATCTTGCAAGTCTATAGTCGAATCAAGTGTCTATACAAGATGAATCTAGCGAACATGTTTAAATTGTAGTGTCCACATTTGCTCTCCACAACTATGTTCGACGATATCATTCAAGAAGTGGCATAGACTGCAGCATGGGTGACAATGGTCATTTAAACGTTCTGCCTGAAACATTTGAATATCACATAAGATAATTTATACCACAAACAGAAGGAGAATCATAACAAGGTTGCACCCAAGATGGCGAAGGTGCAGAGAAATGGTTGAATTGAGAGAGCGGATTGCAGACGTCATTGTTGGATACTAAATGGGTTGATTCTTGTTTATTTTTTACAATTCATGTTTATTTTCGTTTATTGTAGAAATGTTTTTTTCTTATTTCATTTTTTACAATTCATGTTTATTTTCGTTTATTGTATATTTAATTATGATTGTTTGGATTTTTTAAAGATGTTTGTAAATGTTTTTTTCTTATTTTCTTTCTTTTGTTTTTCTTTTTGTGGGTTCGAGAAGTCCATGATGAGACGTTAGACCTTATGAATTCTTCTAGATTGCCTAATTGTTGGTATTAGTTGGTGTCACATGTGAAATCCTATTGAAGGCAACTAAGTCCCCTCTTTTTTTAGGCGATATGATTTCTAAGGTTCTTCTGGATGGCCTTTTTTTGGTGTATGCATATGTGACTGATATACAAAAATAATATACTGTTTTAAGCACCATTTTTATGTCTATTTTTGTGATATTGCACATTAAAGAAATGTATTTGTTGTGTTTTTGTTGCAGGTATATCATTTTTAGGCATTTGGAGAAAAAAATGACAAAATGAGCAGAATTTGGAGCAAAAACAACCAATTTTGGGGTTTGGCGCATGATGCACCAAAATTCAGGGAGCTGACGCATGATGTCAGGCGCGACATTTTTAAATTAAGGCTGTTCGAGACAAATTTTGCGTAAATTTTCAAAGAGACACTTATTCTAAACACCCCATGGAGTGATTCAATGCATTTAGACACTATGGAAGGTTCCAATTTGAAGGGATTTGACTCTTGGATTAAGAAGGCACATCTTTTGAAATTCAAAGTTTTGACTTTTGAATATTGGAGGAAAATTGAAACTCTTGTGAGAGGAAGCAGCCCAAAAGGAGAGGGACTTCTAGAATGTGACGAAAGGGAGAGAGAGAGAGAATTGGTGTGAGTTAGAGAGAGAGAAGAGGAGATTTTCTTCTAGGGTTGTAAGAGGAGAGGGAAGGTGAGAGATTTCTTCTTCATTACATTTCTAAGAGAGAATTGTGAGTGATTGTAAAGAGGGAAAGAATTGGAGAGAACTTCTAGGAATTTGCTTGGGAAGAATTATGAGTTAAGTTGTGTATTTTATTTCTTTTTTTTGTAAACATATTTTTATATATGAAATTCGTGTTTTGTTGTATCATTCTCATGAATTCTGAGTAGTCTTCTTTGTCCTTCTCCCTACTTTCAAATATGGTTTTGTGAATAATTGAATTTATTTTATACGATTTTAAATATTAATAATTTGTGATTATTTGAACTACGATCTTCATTTTCTTTTTGATCTGGTTAATAGAATTGTTAAAATGTGTTGAGAAATGTATGTCCGAAAGGGCTATGATTTCTACAACATATAACCACATTTAATTTTATGGGGGAGGATGTGATCCATGGAGTTGAGTGCAAATAAATAGAGAAATAAACTTTATTGGATGCAGAGTTAAAGATTTTAAGGTGATAGATTAAAATCTCCAATTTAGTCAAGTTGATTAAAAACTAATGCGAGATTGTTAGCCCTCAAGTGAGTGAGTAATGTGAGGTCTGGAGTGGTAGCCGGTGTCCTCCTAGCCTAACTATATAATTAGGGACCAAACTCTGATTAGTAAATGTTTTTTATGCACTCAGAAGAGAGTAAAAAATATAATTGCTCTTATTTGACACAAAACAAGTTATAGATATTTTTTTTTCAAATGATTTTAATTTCTTCACAATCCATATACTCATTGTAGAGGGGAAAGATGCTTCCTTGAATTTGAACTTTTTTAGTAGCATTTCACTTAAGTAGTTTAACTTCAAATTCCGTACCTTACTTTGTTTTTATTTTTAGTTTATAGTAGAATATAAATAAATAGCTTATATATATTTCCAGCTTCCCTGTGAGATCGATATCTAGGACTCCATTAGAGCCCTGTATTACTTGAACGATACGTATACTTGCGTTATATGTAAAAGGGAATTAAGACTTTAAAAGAGGTTTTAAGGATAAATTATTTTCATTAAAGTTACATTATTGTTTAAGTTATATTGCATAATTATTATTAATTTAATATCAATTTTCCCGAATCCCGTTCAAGTTTTTGGCATCGTTGTCGGGGAAGTAACAAAAAATATTAGTTATTTTATTTTAAAATATAAAAAAGAAAAAAAGGTATTTGTAGTTTAGTATGGATATTTTATTATTTAAGTGTATCACTTATTTTTAATTACTTGTTTTATTTTGTTTATGCGTAGTATAAGATTTGAAAACTTAGTACCTTACGATTTTGAATTAGAAAGAACTGTTAGAAAAATTCGAAAACAACAAAAAGAGAAAAATCATTCTAGCAAAATGGTTTGCAACTCAAATAATGCTGGAAATGAGAATGAACATCATTAGAGACCTTTAAGGGATTATGTTAATCCTACAACAGATGGAATTCATTTGAGTAACAAAAGATATTTTTACAAACTGACAAAAAGAAGTAATCCGTTTCCAAGTCTTCCAAAAAATTAATCTATATGAGGACATTCTTATAGTTGTCTTATAAGCTATCTTGTATGCCAATAACACAGTATCTAATCTAATAGACCAATCCATTTTATTAGGATTAATACTTTTCTTCAAAATTCTCTTAATTTCACAATTAGATACCTCTGCTAAACCACTAGTCTGAGGATGATAAGCAGTTGCAATTTTATGTATTATATTATATTATTCCACCAATCTTGCAACTGTTGAATTTCTAAAATGAGATCCCCCATAAGTAATGATTACTTTCGGCATT